TTGTTGGCAAGGAGGCCGGTAGTCCTGAAATGGAATCAGTTCATTTAACCTTCGTGGGAGCATTTGACAGTGGACAGCATCTCGTTAAATCAGCAGCTCAGCATTTCCCATCGTCTGCAGCACATATTATATCACTTCTAACAGGAATAATGTCGGTGCTGCGTGTTGCTCTGAAACCTGGCTGGTGACGACTTAAAACTAAATTTCTTCAGCGGAACGACTGGAGCTGATTATTAACCAACGACTTCAGCGAGACGGTTGTTCGGTTCGGTTTTTATCCTCCCATCTCATTTCCAGACTTGAGTGAGTGGAGACATGGAGGCTGAATAAACATGCAGTTTGATTGGCTTTTAAAAAATAAAATAAAATATGGGTCCAATTTATCTTCCCCAGCAGCTTTCCTGCAATCAGCAGCTTGGAGTGGCACTTTAACAGCAGCGGAGGTGAACCTGAGCAGTTCAGAGGGCGAATGAGGCGAATGCTGCAAAAACAAGGTGATAAAAACCTGAATGCATCACATGGAAGCGATTCCCAGCAGCAGCAGCAGCAGAACGTGCGCTGAAAACAAATACGGAGGTTATTTATGGGATGGGATGGACTCGCTTTTATGTACATTTGAAGCCGGCCAAAATTTTTTACGGGTTTGCAAAGGAGGTGGAGAAAAGTTTAATATGACAGCTGGCATTAAAGAGTATTCACCTGTAACACCCTGCTACAGCCCACACTGTAAAAAAAAAAAATCGTTTTTAACTGTGACTTTTTGCTATTTCACAGATTTTGCCAGTTTTGTTAATTTACAAATAACAAAAAAAGAATAAATTTGTCATTTTGCAGTTAAAGTTCACACATCAATGACAAAAAATGTAAATGTTCTCATCAATAATCTGTTTTTTTGGGGTTTTTTTTTTTACAAACACTGATTTGTTCTTTTACTGTATTTTACTGTAAAACTACATTTTGACTGTATTTAAGTCAGCAAAAACTAAATCAGTGTTTTACAGATATTTTGTGTTAGTTAAAAGAAAAAAAAATGTATGTTAAGGATTGAAAAATGATCATGTTGCTTAAAAAAATTACATAAAGATCTCCAGTAAAATCACTGGAAAAAAAATATCTAATCTTCTAATCTCTAAAAATTCAGCAATAAAATATCGACATTTTCCAGATAGTTGTCATTATTTTAAGGAAAAAATATGCACATTAAGGATTGAAAAATGCTAATGTAATTTTAAAAATTAAATACAGATCTCTAGTAAAATGGGAATATATATAAAAATCAGTAGAATATGTAAATAACGTCTACATCAAAAATCTTCACTTTCACACTGGATTTAAATCAGCAATAAAATATCATCATTTTGAAGATATGTCATTAGTTTGAGGAAAAATTCTACATATGAAGGATTGAAAAATTTTATTTTTTTAAAACTCTTATAGCTTTAAAAGGGGGAAACCTTTATGGACACTAAATCCTTTTTTTTTTTTTTATAATAATGGTGAGTTGACGATGGTAAGATGATTAAATGATCCCGAATGGTAAAACATCTGGATTAAATCTGGATTACTGTGATTCACATTAAGATAAAATAACACTTTATTAATCCCAAAATTCAAATATTACAGCAGCAAACCTGTTAAACTATTAAGACTCGAGTTACTTTTAGTAAAGCTGCTAGAAATTACTTCGACCCCCTAACCCTGAGTCCTACTTGGTACAGTCCACCCTGAAGGTGTTGATTTATTTTGAAAATCTTCTTCTTTTAATTTTTTTTGCCCAGTTTGTAAATACACCAAGTTATTATTATTACCAGAAAAGGCTTGTTTCTCAGCACGATCCATGATGTTGAAGATTTAAATATTACAGCA